GATTTCATGACTACGAAAGAGGATTTGCATGTTGTAAAACCTACAACTTCTGTAGATGAGGTTTTTTATATGTTTAGATTAATGTCTCAGATGACAGATTACGGTAAAATGTTTTGTTTTTTTTCCTTTTTCTTTCTTTTGGTTTTCTAATACATTTATTCTTTGTGGCAACAGCCTGGAAATTCTTGTGGAAAGAGAAATTACAGGTTTTCCTGTGATTGTGATGACTGGAAATTGGTAAGTTTTCCTTACCTTATGTGTTGTTTAATCTTTTTATGTTTAGGCTTCTTTTATTGGTATTGATTGTGAGTTTAGTTTTGGTGTATAATTCTTGTCAACTACTAATCTGTTTTGATGATTTTCTAAGTCTTTAAAGTTCTCAATTTTTGCAAACACATTTTTTTTAATAATATTTTCTAATTAATGTGTACCCCCCACCTGATCCACACCCATACCTTCCCCCACCGAAACTTAATTAGTTAAATCCCTCACTGAGGTTGATATAGGGGGATTTGTTCATTGGACTTCTTTGCTTCCACTATGACATATCTAACCAACTAGTTTATCCGGTGGGGACTCTTACTATTATGATATCAGATTTTTTTCTCAACTCCTTACTATTACAGGAGATTGGGCCCACTGGTCTGTGATCTGAGGATCATGTGTGGGTAATTTGAAATAACAACCAAGAAGACAACTGTTTTCTTCAAACTATGCCTTTTTCCTTCCACCATACAGCTAAGGATGTAATCACTTTTCTGTAACCCATTCAGCATAATGGAATAAACATACTGTCTTTAAAATTAGGCATAAATATGTTTATTTTAAAACCTATAAATTGTTGAGATTATCGATTCAAAGAGAGAAACCCACCATCTTGCCTGTTGGGGGATGTTCCAGAGTTCAGCTGTTGGGGGAGAACCACCATCTCTCATGCTTACTATGGAAACTTATCTAGTTCAGAATTTAATAGTTCTGGGGTATTTATCAAATGTTATGTGTTTTCTTCTCAATAAGTTCGTTTCCTTTTCTTTTAGAGAGGAAAAAAAAATTATGTTTCTTTGAATGTCTTGTTTTAAATTGTTCATTTTTTATGTGAGATGATGTGGGAATAATTTAACTTTTGGCTGTTGCAGGTTGGTCTCGTTTCAGATTATGACCTCCTAGCATTGGATTCTATATCAGGTATGCTAAATTCATCAAAATCATCTTTTTGTGTCAAATCTCCTCAGAAAAGTCTCATAGGTTTTGGCTTTTTCTCTTTCATATGCTCTGTGTTTAATCAGTATTACTGTTTATTTTTATTTTTATGTTCTGCTGGGAATCAGTAATACTTTTTATGAATTTTTTATAAACACTACATTGCAAAAAGTAGGGGTTACAATAGTCAGTTTGTATGAGTAAACAATGTTTTCTGCTCTAGTGTTTATGTTTTGTGATATTTTTTAAATTTATGTTCTCGGGTATAATACAAGTCAAACATTATTTATTAACATTTTGTAATTGTTAATATGGCATGTGTGAACATGCTAGTTTGGGAAAAATTGCAGCAGTTTATTACAGGAAAAATATCAATATGTTTGAGTAAATATTAAATGGAGTATTGTGGAAGAATCTGAGACAGGGATCCTTTCATTGGTTATTCTAGTATGATCTTCTTAAACATCAAAGTGATTATTTGGTCTGTTGTCAAACTTCTTCCACTTTTCTGGGATTATGAATCTCATTTATGAAAATATAAATTTTGTTGATGAACAATGATTACCAACTATTTATTTGTTCATGACATGTTGACGTTAAATTGTTCCAATATATCAACTAGGTGGCGGACGAGCTGATAACAGTATGTTTCCTGAAGTTGACAGCACTTGGAAAGTATGTTAGAAATGACTCTCTTCTGATATTTTTAGTTTCAACATCTGTTGTTTAATGTTGTTTTCATTCTATTCTTTGGTTATTTATACAATCATTCTCCGTATTAAGGATAATATTATTTGAAGGTTTATTTTAAAGTTAGCTACATTTCTCATTTACTTGTTAATCTTGAGAGAGATGGTTAAGGATTTAAGGGTTTGATAAATTTTCCATGGTTGAAAGAGAAGTTTTTATATTGCCTTGCGTAGGTAGTTTAAAGAGAGTGGGTAACAGTCATCGAGGTTGGAATTCAACAGTGCTTGAGATCACTCACCTGAAGGCATTATAGCCTCAGATTATTTACCATTTCTTACCTCCTTTTTTGGCAATTATTGTCTTCTCTCCTCCTTTTTTGGCAATTATAGTCTTCTCTTAGTGTTTGATTTTACAGCTCTGTTAAGTTTGAATCCAGTTTGCTTTGAATGTCTGTAAATCAAAGCATCGTACAAGCAAGCTCATCCTAATCAACAGGGGTTTGGCTTAAAAGTACTAGGGTTAGGTGAACGTTCATTTATTGCAAGCAAGCTCATTCTCCCTTTGCCCTTGTGGATCTTTTTAATTTGAAACTAACACTCTTACTTATTGTTGCATTAATTGCTGTCTATTGCTCATGATATACCATTACCTACCTATTTACTTCGTTTGCATTCGCTCACAGAGTAATGTTATTGGAGGCACTTGCTTTCCTCTTTCCTTCATAATGTTTGCCTAATGCATGCTTTTCTCAGCTTAAGTTTCTTTCATTACACAATGGATTTCCAGCTCCCCATGCTCCCTTGATGTGTCTGACACATCAAGAAGTTCAAACTGCTGAAATGGAGTGGATTGCTTGTTTTACAGTATTTCTAATTGCTAACCAGCTGCAACTCTAAATTTATTGTTTTTTGATTCTCAAAATTCAATGCAGACTTTCAATGAGGTGCAGAAGCTGCTGGGTAAAACCAATGGGAAAATGGTTGGTGATTTAATGACACCAGCTCCAGTTGTAGTTCGTGAAACAACTAATCTGGAGGATGCTGCTAGGTTCTCCCTTGCTTCTTTCTTCGCAAACATTTTTTTTTTCCTTTATGGGTTATAAAAAATTGTCCGGCTTTACTGCAATATTCTTGAATCATTTAAGCCAAAATATTGCATATCTGATTTGTTATATCTAATGTCAGATTGTTACTTGAGACAAAATACCGCCGACTACCTGTAGTTGACGCTGATGGCAAGCTGGTAAGGAAATAAAATCTTCTTCATTTGGCTTTCGGTTTATCTTAATCCATTTGAAATCATCTTCTTTTTGCTAAATCATTGTTTATAAACCAAAGGTTGGAATTATCACAAGAGGAAACGTTGTAAGAGCCGCCCTTCATATAAAACGAGAACTTGAAAAGAAAGCACAATAGCAATATATTGTTGAAGCCATTTGAAGCAGTCCTACATACATTGCTACTAGGAATCAAATTGGGTCTGCAATCATGTTCCCAGATGATCATCGAAGACCTCATCTGCTTTACGTGTGCAATTTTGACTATTGGTATTGTTTGTAGTAGAACTAATTATAGGAGAATTTACGGGCAACTAAGCTATTAGAGACCAACAAATGTCGATTCTTGACAACCTCAGTTTTATAATGCAAACAATTCCAGCTCTTAGAAATTTAAAAAAAAAAAAAAAAAAATGTTTGAATATAAATTTTATGTATTTGTTAAACAATTAAAGATGTCAGGTCAGGATATTGTAGTTATAGAATCTGTGCATCATCTGTAAAAGTTTATTGTATTAACTTCATCCGCTAAAGTTTATTGTATTAACTTCTAATTTTTTTGTTTAATTTCCAACTTCTGTTGCTCCAGTCATAAATCGTAGAGTTAATGTCGGTCCCGCCTGCCGTTTTTAGAGCAAGATAAATATATGTGCCTTTCCAATTCTTTATATGTTTGTTAATATGATAAGATCAAAGCATTTAAATTATTTAATATTATAATATTAGTTGGCAAAAGTATTAATAAAAAGTTAATAAATGCTTTATTGTGTGTTACAGTTGTACTTCTTCGCTAAATAAGTGCACCGCTGTTCCATTATGTTAATATGTATAGGTAGCTGAAAGGGCGAAGCCGCTAATAAAAGTGAACGGTGGTTCAACTAAAATTGCGACCGCTTAGACACTGCATTCTATCATTCCTTAAATACGGTTGAGCTCCAGCTTCTAACGGATGAACCCTAAAAGAAACTGGAAGTATACAATAATTGAGGATTTGATATTCTTTGCATTTGCTGATTTTAACTGAGTGACAGACTGGGACATGTATTTAATTCATGGGTTAAACCTATAAAAATTAAAACATAATCATGGATGTTCCTTTCCCTTTGAAAACGAATAAAAAAAGGGCAAGTACGGTCACTCAAGCAACATCATAATTGAACAAGTAAAAAATACCACAAATTTTTACAATTTGACACAGACACAGATACATTTACTAGAAAGATATCTGTATCGTACACAGACATCCAGAAGATGATAAAGATTGTTTCAATTAATAATAGTAAAAAAATCTGAAACTTACCTTAATAAACAAATATTCCTCCGCTAATTGTGGGGCAAAAAAGTTGTCATCTAAAGTAAGTGTAAAATTAAAATAAAAAAAACAAGTCAAAAGCTGAAATATAAAACGACAGTGTTTTAAGCTCTAAACAGCTGCTTTGCTTTTCTTTTTGACGTTTGGAATAGTGAAGAAGCGGTGATATGACAATTTATAGGAAAAAAAGTACAGAAAATATAGCACAAAAAAATCGTCAACTTGGAACTCATTATTATCATCGACTACTACTCTTTCAAATTGATTATGAACAGTGGAGAACCAGAACCAGAAAATACCTAACTTAAAAATCCTATCACTTTAGTAGTTATAACTTTAGTGGTTAACCATCCCCACTTGCACCAACTGCCAGGATATGTAGGCCATTCCTGTTCCCTGTTCCCTCTTCCTCTTTTCTATTTTCTCTCCTCTTTATGTTTCTATTCTTATAAACGATTGAGACTTATTCTTCTTCATTCAAAATCCTATTTCACAAATTTTCATGTTTGCACATAAACCAAATAATATTATCAAAAATTATACTGACCCAAAATTTTAAATTATCAAATAAGTAACAATATACAATTACCCCCATTTTTTTTTTTTTACATGGGCCAAAATTTATATTCTAAATATTTAATAATACACATGAAAGAAAGGAAGGAAAAAACAAAAAAAAAAAAAAAAAAAAAGAAGAAGAGAGGTAGAGCCACCAGTACCACAAGGCTTCATCATTCCTTCAGCCGTCGCCCGTCAGGCCCGTAACGTACACTTACCTCCATGGCGCACGTTAGCAATAATCAGTGGTAGAGATAAACCACTTTTTTTTTTTTGTCTCCCACTAAGAGGGCTTCAGTACTCACCGTCCAAATCTTCCGGGTCGGGTACCTTGTTCAGGTCGACCCGATTCAATAACCCACCACACGCGGCCTTGAATTCATCGATTACTGGTTCCTGACGTTGGTTATTTTGTTCTCCGTGATTTGTGTGAACCGCCGATTCGATGGCGTCGACTCTAGCGCCGACTTCGGTGGCTTTCTTTCTTATCAAAGCCGCTGACATGTCACCACTAACAGCCGCAGTGCCGCCGTCTCCTTTCAAAAGGTCCGGAAAGTTCAACCTGGCAGACGGTCCCCGGAGATAAAACACCGCCGTATCGTAAGCTCGAGCCGCGGCAACAGGAGTAGAGTAAGAGCCGAGCCAGATTCTAGAACGTTTGTTTGGCTCTCTAATCTCGGCCACCCACTTGCCCCACTTTCTCATCCTTATCCCCTTGTAGGGTCTCTCTCTGTCCACGACTCGCTTCCTGGTGGCCGCCTCCGTCAGAGCTGCACCTCTCTCCATCTTTTGTTAAAGAAAGAAAGAAAGAAAGAAAAAACTTTTGTGTTTGGTTATCTAGGAACACGAAAAGAAGAGAGGAGAAGTGAAGAAGAAAAGAGTATCTATGTAGATGCTACATAGAATAATTGGCTGTCATATGGAGGAGGTAACACGTTGAAGATGATATTGATGCTATGTTAAAAAAAATCGAGAGAGAAAAAATCCAAATTCACCGACATAATCAGGGTGATGTAGTTTAAAAGAAGATAAGAGGAGAGGAGATGCGTGCGTGCGTGCGTGCGTGTTGGAGCTGGAGTTGGAGTTGTGTTGTTTCCAGATATGTAATAATGGTCTGAGGAAAAAAACAGGTTGCAGACGTAGATGCTTGGCTCTTGGCAATTGGCATCTGAGTGTTGAGTCTGAGGTTTTGTTTGGCAAAATAGAAAATTAAAAAATGGAAGAGGGGAGAACCGGATTGTATGATTGTGAATAAAATATTAATTGATAGGTGGTGACAGGTGACTGGTGATGGGTATTGGGTAATGGGTGGTGTCCTTTCTCACGGTGAACAAGTTTTTGGGTTGTGAGAAAAGCAACTCCACTTTGCCCTAATTTATTACATCATTATTTTTTTTATTTTTATTTTTACCTAGATATGTTAAAACAGTTTATATATACTTAAACTAATTTTTAAAATTTATTAAACTAATTTTTAAATTTTATTAAATATTTTTATGCATCTCAATTAATTCTTGGAGTTCATTAAACACTAAATAAATTATAATATTATCGTGTAAGATGACTCCCAAACTTAAAAAAGAAAAAAAACCTTATTTACCACCAAAATCTTGGAGTTAATTGTGATTATATCAATGCATTAAATGTGTTTTTATCATCTTTCAATTAATAATTGTGATATGTAACCTGTTGTAAACATGTCCTTTACGACCATAAGTAATTTCAACAATATTTGTCTCTTATGATATTATAATAATTATTATTATTTAAAAAATGTAGAGTTTTGTAATATTATATTTTAAGGAGGCAACAAAGGGTAGGTCGGTGGTCGGTGGATAGATACCGTTAGGAATTGACTTTCCCTTCACGCAATGAGGATTGGCTATTTTGTCCTCTTCGAAAATTTGTTTTGTTAAGAGAAATTAAAGGCTAATATGGAGATTTAAAAAAGTAAAAGGGTGGCCCAGTTAGTAAAAGATGATTGGGTAGCTCCATTTATCATTTATTTAAAGAGGGGCGTAATTATTCATAAATAAATTAAGGGATTCTTTTTGATATTTCAATCATAAAATAATGTTAGGTGATGACACGTAACAACTCTATGATTTAAAGATAAGATCTAAGTTTAAGGTTGAGATGAGAGGGTTGCATGATATTATGATAAGTCAGAAGTAGGGTTCGGATGTGGCACGTGACTCATGAAATTCGAAGATTGGATTTTATATGTGAACATTTTACATGATTGGTATTGTATTTTCTTTTGTATTTCAACGCTTTAAAAACTTTATCCCTCTAAACATTATGCTAAAATTTCATGTCAAAAACATGCTATACTTGACTCCATATATATATTATTTATATCCTAAAACCATACAAAACCACTTCTTCTTTCATATTTTTGTGTTATAATAATAAAAACATTCATTCTATTATCAAGATTGAGTAGGTGTAAACAGATTAATTAAACATGTTGTATGTGTATGAACAAATTAATAATGTTGAATACGTGGTATATTTATGTATTGGTTTTAATATTTTAATTAAATTAAGTCTGAAATCAAAATTTTAATACTAAATGACCGGCAGTAATTCGACACGTCTACTCAAATTATTAGCTTAACATACATTCATGTTTAAAATCTTTAATTCAGTTTAGTATTGAAAAATTAAAAACATAAGAGTAAAAAGAAATAATGTAGACATTATAGGTGGAGGAGAAGAACAATATTGTTTAATACTGTTAAAGTATGAAATACAAAACGTTGACGTTTCTGCATTCTGAACTTATCAATTCGCTGCCGTTTAATACACATGTGAGATAATCTAAGCCATTGAAGCAAACGACATCCAACGGCCAGAATTCATCTAGCAAGTCAACCATATATAAGCAAGCATCTTCTACATAATAAGAGGCCTCTCTTCTTCATGCGACCAAAAAGGTTCTTTGTGCTTTGTAAGGTTTTCGTCAATCTTGTCTCAAATTTGTATAATCTGGGTTAGGTGAGGGTAGTGTTTCCTTCATGATTAGAGAGGTTGGTTCAAGTTTCTCTAGAGATTAAAGGTTTGAGTGATTATTCAAGATTGAGAGCTGTGTGTGTCTTTAAGAATCACTGTAATATGTAAGAACTCTTGATTCCTAGTGCAGTGAGCCCCAAAAATTCCTGGAGCTTAACGTGGATGTAGTCTTTCCAGTTTTTGAAAAGACGAACCACGGTAAATCTGATTGTTCTTGTGTTTCTTGATCTTGTGTGTGTGTTGATCTGTTAGTTTGTGTGTGATTAAGGGTTAATTGATCACGAATTGGTATAACAAATACTATTAGCAACCCTGGGGACTCACATTCGAGTGACTATGTTAGATTCTCCTCTTACTCTTTTACCCTCAAGAGGGTTCGAACTTGCGAAACCATACTGAATCTTTCTCTTTGCTCTTTTACTATCAAAGATACTCAAACTTTGAAGACTATGTTAGATCTTCCTTTACCCTTTTACCATCAGGCCATTAGTGGTTCTTAATTAATTTGTTTTTTCATACTCTATAATTATATAGCCATACATTGAGTCCATTAGGGTTCATCAAATATAACAAAAAATGGGGGTAAGTTTAATATTATTGTTGAAGGATTATATTATTGAATTAGGAGGGCTGATAATTCAAAGCTAAGTTTTGTTTGTTTATAGTAAGTTCAACATATTATATGAAATTTTATATATATATATATAGTTAGTTAGTAGATCTGTGTTTATTTTTACTATGGTGGTTAGCTAAAGTTGTGAATAATGGAGGTTAGCTGTGAAATAGTTGGCACCACCGTGATAATTTGAGGGGGTAGAAATTAATGGGGAAAAGGTGAGGGACCACATTAATTCAGTGGCAAGCGACAACCAAGTGTAATGAAAATGCCAATAGAACCAAACACATCTCTATCAAATTACACGATCACTTCCACTGTAAATAATTTGTTATAAGATATTGCATGAGGTGTAAAGAGGGGTGACAGTCGGTGACTAGTAATAGCACCCATGCAAACTGGAAAGCGGAAACAATTACTTTTCCATTTCTATTTCTATTAAATTTTGTCCATGAAACTAGGCCTTGGCAGTCAACTCCATAAACTCAAGTCTATAATTCACACAGTAGTAATGTAAGACTTTTAGAGGCATTGAACTATGTTATTGTTACCCCAAAAGAAAGGAAATAAATAGATTCATGAATCAACCAATTTAGTCTTAAATTCATGTGACTTTACCTAGAACAAACTGACACCTTTGCTAAGAGTCAGGAATTTTTTTACAAAAAAACCATTCCTTCTTGGTCTCTTCTCAACCAATATAACTAACTAACTAACTAATCTCTTCATCAAATTACTATAATATCTCAATTCACAGTATGTATATTCGTCTATTTTCTTTTACCTTATTGTTTAATTTTATTATATAAATTTGTAAATGATATTCATAATAGATTTAATTGCTTCTTTGACTTGAAACTTGTTTGCAAGTTGCGTATACATTTAGGGCTTCGATGAGAATCTTATGAGTAATTGAGATATTAATTTAGGAGTAAAAATAAATTGACTTTTATTAAAGATCAGATATAAGTCAAAGCATGAATGCACCTGAAATTTAGAGTGGTTGGTTTCCAATAAACAAATACATTGAATTGTGTGGAAAAAATCTTGGATCAACGTCATAAATATTAAATTATAAATTATAAAATGACGAGCATCTAATTATTGAAGGGGGGAAAGTCAAAATTTAGGTGAAGAATGGGATGAGAAAATATTGACCTGACCACTAGAGGGTGGAGAGAATGGATGATATGTCCTTCAACAACTATTATTTTAAAGGTCAAACCTAACTCAACTGCTTTTTTTTTTTTTTTTTATTTCTCCCTATATCCATTCTACTATGTCTTCTTTCTAAATTCTCAGATTCAAAGAAATCAAGATAAAACAACTGAAGTATTTTTGAAACCTCCAATAGCAACTTGAAAAAGGGAAACAAGAAGCTGGGATATCAACATGAAATTTGCTTTCAATTATCAATTGTTAATAAAATACATGAAATTTGATACGAATTAAATGGAAATCTGATAACAGCTATAAAATTACACCTTCGTAAACCTATTTTTTTGGTACAAAATAATTTAAGATGTGCATCAACTAGAATGGCTGGTAGACAAAGCAAAGGGTTATATTCTGCCCTCAAAACTTGGTTAAAAACTATTGATCATTTTGGCTTCCGAGGCATTCCCATCCTTGACTTAGCATATCTGGGTTGCAAATTGAGATAAACATTCGTGCACAAAAACAAAAATGATACTCCAAACAATAAAATAAATCAAAAGGCATTTACTTGTAAAAAGAAACAAAAATGCATTCCTAAAGGATACTCCAAACGTAAGCCTCCTGGACATGAGTAAAGAATTGTGCCTTGCAGACTAGTTAATGCTGCCGTTGAAGAGGAAGTATCCTGCACAATTAGTTGCATATACTAGATGACTCTCACAAGATATACTGCAAAGGTAAATTACACAGAACTCCAATATAGAGGGTATTCCTCCTGCAAATGCCATAAACAATTGAAGCTTCGAATCCTAAGTGGAATACTGCATAATCCCACTACAACAACTCTTTCAGAATTCTCAGAGTGGATTACTAAATGCTATCACATTCAAAATCAACTAAACACTTCCAAAAGGTGAACAAGTGCCGCGTGCTATGACCACATGCAGTAAAAGAGAACTAGTAGCAGGTTTCTTCTAAAGAAAACTGAGGTAAAATCTGAATTTGGCCCTCCTTACATAAGATATCAAGAAAAAAAATCAAAAGTTCATGTCCTCAATAATGCAAAAAACCAGTGATGCTTTCTCAATACACTAAAAATATATGTGAATGACTATGAATTTTTACTGCTTTTTACAAACAGAATCTACATGCAAATGATGAAATTTGAACATTTAAATTCATAAATATCCCATTAATAATTTTGATAAATTAATTATACAATTAAACCTCCCATATTGGCATGCTAGCATATGTTGAAATATAGATTGTAAGCTGAAAAGAAATTAGTGCATGAACTTAATGGCATTTTGTTTAAAAAAAGTTGATTTTATTTTATTTTTCTAATTTGTTTCTTTCAGCATGTCCCACTCATATACCCTAGGGGGACTGCAATCATGAACAAACTCTACAGGAAAGAGAGATGCTATTAGGTCAACTCTCTCTTTAACAGGTATGACAAAGGAGAACATGGCATCAATAAAGTAAGTTGAGCACCTGAAAATCAACAAATGCAACTGGAGCTCCATATGTGCTCTGCATCTTCAATTTCAGATATCCTGGGCATCTGATAGAAAAAATATCAACCAAAAAAAAAATTAACAAAATAATATATTACATAAGAAAAGTTATGGTTCTTACCTAGAAAAGACTTGAATTAATTCTTGCTCTGTACAGGTTGGCCCGAGATTAGCCACAAAAAGTGTTGGACATGGGGTACCAATTTTGGGGACATTAGGGGGAACTGAAGAATGATTCTGCCATTACAACAAAGATCTTTGAAGTTATTGACAATGGAAAATAATTGTTCGAGCGTGCATATGTAAAATTTATTGTGGTCAAGATGATTGTCTTGACGAAAATGGGCTATTAATATGATTGAAAACAAGGCATGGTCTTATAATTGGGTGCATTGACAATAGCTTGAAAACCATCGTGCATCAGATTATAAAAACAATGCAATTTTACAACTAAAATTTAAGAAAACACGCAGACAGGACATGTTAGGAAGCATCTCAAAGGACTAATGATTTATGAAGACCATGTAAGCTTAATTATATCTTTCAAAGTTAAAAGAAAAGGATATAATAGAGCATATAGCAATAGCAGAAATACACAATTGGGAGCAGGCAAGAACAAAGGGTAAGCAACTGCTAGGAACTGGAATTGACTTAAAAAGAAAAGCAAGCTGAAATGTAGCCTGACCAATTTGGAAGCTGTTATCTCACTAGCAGCTCTTGCGTCGAGGTTTCCAAGACTGAATGATAGAAAAAGGGAAAAAAAAGAAAACAAGAATTAATAATCAGACAAGGTTTCACAGATACATGAAGAATTGAAAATCAAAAAGGCAGATACTACACTCCAACTTCTGCAAACAGGACATGTAGTAACCGCTTTTACTAGGACCTTGACCTTTCTGCTAGAAGCAATCACTTGAAAGTAAAAATATGTGCTAATTGATCTAGAAGTAATCACTTCTAAGTAATGAAAGTTGTGCTTAAGTAATGCAGATGACCTTTGTGTAGGTGGATAACCAATCATGTTGTAAGCAGAATTACCCATTCCAGGCATGTGAACGCTGCCAAAACCTGCTAGTGCCCAAGCGTGCAAAACATGTGCAATGTGAGCATCTATAAGAATGTGTCCTTCGTGTGACTAAGTAATTAATTTGTAGTCCAAGTGAGAGATTAGACAAGCACCAGCTAGCTCATATAAAACAAATGAATGAGAGCAAGAGAGAGATTACAAACGTTATTAATAGGCCTAAAGTGAGCCAAGAAAAGAAACTGTTTAAACAAGCAACCACAAGGTAATCTGACACAAACTAATTAAATCTAGGCAATCCACCCACCAGAGTCAGAAGTTCCCCTTGAAAATGTGGAGGATGCTCTTGCCTTCTTATCTGAGCCACTCCATTCATCATCTAATAGTAATAACCAACGAGTACACATGACGTCACCAAGAAACCAAAATATATAACAGAAATCAAATCAAATTTTAAGGGAAGATATTCAACAAGCTACAGACCTGTTCTTGAGCGCTTAGGTCGGGAATTAGATTTTGCAAGATCAATATATAGGATTGATCCTTTCTCAAGATCAAACACCATTCCCTGCAAACAGAGGAATGCAAACTAAAATTAATATATCTCATGCTCTGAAGCACTGCAGAACAGTAGTGGGTATCCATGCACACGTTTTTGAGTACCAAGTGACAAAGCCTTGTCAACAACATCAAGAATGAACAAAATAATTTGACCTACAGCAGATTCAAATCACACAATCTTCAAGTGTTTTGCCTAATGCTTTCTGTACTAGTTTCTCTGATATTTCTAAGGATCAGGCATAAAGGTAAATCCTCTCTGTTACACTTCAGACAAAAATGAAAACACGAAAGAAAATAGATGGAATTTTGGCAGATAGTATATGGATTGGAAAAGTCCATAAATTTTACTGAACCATAACTGTAATCCATATTGCAGATTTATGTAACAGAACAACTTTTAAGAATAACTTGGGCACATGCATGAGTTTCACTTGATGATTAATAATGGTTGATACGTGGTATATTTATGTATTGGTTTTAATATTTAATTAAATTAAGTCTGAAATCAAAATTTTAATACTAAATGACCGGCAGTAATTCGACACGTCACTCAAATTATTAGCTTAACTACCTTCATGTTTAAATCTTTAATTCAGTTTAGTATTGAAAAATTAAAACATAAGAGTAAAAAGAAATAATGTAGACATTATAGGTGGAGGAGAAGAATATTGTTTAATACTGTAAAGTATGAAATACAAAACGTTGACGTTTCTGCATTCTGACTTATCAATTCGCTGCCGTTTAATACACATGTGAGATAATCTAAGCCATTGAAGCAAACGACATCCAACGGCCAGAATTCATCTAGCAAGTCACCCATATATAAGCAAGCATCTTCTACATAATAGGGCCTCTCTCTTCATGCGACCAAAAAGGTTCTTTGTGCTTTGTAAGGTTTTCGTCATCTGTCTCAAATTTGTATAATCTGGGTTAGGTGAGGGTAGTGTTTCCTCATGATTAGAGAGGTTGTTCAATTTTCTCTAAGAATTAGGTTTGAGTGATTATTCAGATTGAGAGCTGGGTTTGTCTTAAGAATCACTGTAATATGTAAGAACTCTTGATTCTAGTGCAGTGAGCCCCAAAAATCTGAGCTTAACGTGGATGTAGTCTTTCCGTTTTTGAAAAGACGAACCACGGTAAATCTGATTGTTCTTGTGTTTCTTGATCTTGTGTTGTTGATCTGTTATTTTGTGTGATTAAGGTTAATTGACACGAATTGGTATACAAATACTATAGCAACCCTGGACTCACATTCGAGTGACTATGTTAGATTCTCCTCTTACTCTTTTACCCTCAAGGGGTTCGAACTTGCGAAACCATACTGAATCTTTCTCTTTGCTCTTTTACATCAAAGATACTCAAACTTTGAAGACTATGTTAGATCTTCCTTTACCCTTTTACCATCAGGCCATTAGTGGTTCTTAATTAATTTGTTTTTTCATACTCTATAATTATATAGCCATACTTGAGTCCATTAGGTTCATCAATATAACAAAATGGGGGTAAGTTTAATATTATGTTGAAGGATTATATTATTGATTAGGAGGGCTGATAATTCAAAGCTAGTTTTGTTTGTTTATAGTAATTTCAACATATTACATGAAATTATATATATAATATAGTAGATCGTGTTTATTTTTACTATGTGGTTAGCTAAAGTTGTGAATAATGGAGGTTACTGTGAATATGGGCACCACCGTGATAATTTAGGGGGTAGAAATTAATGGGGAAAAGGTGAGGGACCACATTAATCAGTGGCACGACAACCAGTGTAATGAAAATGCCAATAGAACCAAACACATCTCTACAAATTACACGATCACTTCCACTGTAATAATTTTGTTATAAGATATTGCATGATGTTAAGAGGGGTGACATCGGTGACTAGTAATGCCCCCATGCAACTGGAAGCGGACAATTACTTTTCCATTTCTATTCTATTAAATTTTGTCCATGAAACTAGGCCTTGGCAGTCAACCCATAACTCAAGTCTATAATTCACACAGTAGTAATGTAAACTTTTAGAGGCATTGAACTATGTTATTGTTACCCCAAGAAAGGAAATAATTTCATGAATCAACCAATTTAGTCTTAAATTCATGTGACTTACCTAGAACAAACTGACACCTTTGCTAAGAGTCAGAATTTTTTTACAAAAAAAACCATTCCTTCTTGGTCTCTTCTCAACCAATATAACTAACTAACTAACTAATCTCTTCATCAAATACTATATATCTCAATTCACAGTATGTTATTCGTCTATTTTCTTTTACCTTATGTTTAATTTTATTATATAATTGTGAATGATATTCATAATAGATTTATTGCTTCTTTGACTTGAAACTTGTTTGCAAGTTGCGTATACATTTAGGGCTTCGATGAGAATCTTATGAGTAATTGAGATATTAATTTAGGAGTAAAAATAAATTGACTTTTATTAAAGATCAGATATAAGTCAAAGCATGAATGCACCTGAAATTTAGAGTGGTTGGTTTCCAATAAACAAATACATTGAATTGTGTGGAAAAAATCTTGGATCAACGTCATAAATATAATTATAAATTATAAAATGACGAGCATCTAATTATTGAAGGGGGGAAAGTACAATTTAGGTGAAGAAGGGATGAAAAAATATTGACCTGCCACTAAGGGTGGAGAAAATGGATGATATGTCCTTCAACCTATTATTTTAAAGGTCAAACCTAACTCAACTGCTTTTTTTTTTTTTTTTATTTCTCCCTATACCATTCTACTATGTCTTCTTCTAAATTCTCAGATTCAAAGAAATCAAGATAAAACAACTGAAGATTTTTTGAAACCTCCAATAGCAACTTGAAAAAGGGAAACAAGAAGCTGGGATCAACAGAAATTTGCTTTCATTATCAATTGTTAATAAAATACATGAAATTTGATACCAATTAAATGGAAATCTGATAACAGCTATAAAATACCCTTCGTAAACTTTTTTTTTTGGTACAAAATAATTTAAGATGGGCATCAACTAGATGGCTGGAGACAAAGCAAAGGGTTATATTCTGTCCTCAAAACTTGGTTAACAACTATTGATCATTTTGGCTTCCGAGGCATTCCCATCCTTGACTTACATATCTGGTTGCAATTGAATAAACATTCGTGCACAAAAACAAAAATGATACTCCAAACAATAAATAAATCAAAAGCATTACTTGTAAAAAGAACAAAATGCATTCCTAAAGGTACTCCAAACGTAGCCTCCTGGACATGAGTAAGATTGTGCCTTGCAGACTAGTTAATGCGTGCGTTGAAGAGAAGTATCCTCACATTAGTTGCATATACTAGATGAGTCTCGCAAGATATACTGCAAGTAAATTACACAGAACTCCAATATAGAGGGTATTCCTCCTGCAAATGCCTAAACATGAAGCTTCGATCTAAGTGGAATACTGCATAATCCCACTACAACAACTCTTTCAGAATTCTCAGAGTGGATTACTAAATGCATCACATTCAAATCAACTAACACTTCCAAAAGTGAACAATGCCGCGTGCTATGACCACATGCAGTAAAAGAACTAGTAGCAGTTTCTTCTAAGAAAACTGAGGTAAAATCTGAATTTGGCCCTCCTTACATAAATATCAAAAGAAAAAAACCAAAAGAAAGAAAGAAAAATCTTTTGTGTTTGGTTATCTAGGAACACGAAAAGAAGAGAGGAGAAGTGAAGAAGAAAAGAGTATCTATGTAGATGCTACATAGAATAATTGGCTGTCATATGGAGGAGGTAACACGTTGAAGATGATATTGACGCTATGTTAAAAAAAATCGAGAGAGAAAAAATCCAAATTCACCGACATAATCAGGGTGAAGCAGTTTAAAAGAAGATAGAGGAGAGGAGAGGAGATGCGTGCGTGCGTGCGTGTGTGTTGGAGTTGTGTTGTTTCCAGATATGTAATAATGGTATGAGGAAAAAAACAGGTTGCAGACGTAGATGCTTAGCTCTTGGCAATTGGCATCTGAGTGTTGAGTCTGAGGTTTTGTTTGGCAAAATAGAAAATTAAAAAATGGAAGAGGGGAGAACCGGATTGTATGATTGTGAATAAAATATTAATTGATAGGTGGTGACAGGTGACTGGTGATGGGTATTGGGTAATGGGTGGTGTCCTTTCTCACGGTGAACAAGTTTATGGGTTGTGAGAAAAGCAACTCCACTTTGCCCTAATTTATTACGTCATTTTTTTATTTTTTATTTTAACCGAGATCATTAGGCCAGTTTACAAAAACTTAAGCTAATTCTCAAGATTTATTGAATTAACTTTTAAAGTCTATTAAACATTTTTATGCATTTTAATTAATTTTTAAAGTTTAATAAATACTATATAAACTCAAAAGATCAGATAAATCATAATATTATTGTATAAGATGACCCTAAGACTTGAAGTTGAACTCAAGGAAGAGAGAAAACCATTCGAGTTAATTGTGATTATATCAATACATTAAATGTGTTTTTATCATCTTTCAATTAATAATTGTGATATATTATTCATCAAATTACAAGCTTGATTAAATAAAATAGTAAACATTCATCTAAATAATTAATGTTACTTGTTGTAAACATGTCCTTTATGACCATAAGTAATTTCAACAATATTTGTCTCTTATGATATTATAATAATTATTATTATTTAAAAAATTGTAGAGTTTTGTAATATTATATTTTAAGGAGGCAACAAAGGGTAGGTCGGTGGTCGGTGGATAGATACCGTTAGGAATTGACTTTCCCTTCACGCAATCAGGATTGGCTATTTTGTCCTCTTCGAAAATTTGTTTTGTTAAGAGAAATTAAAGGCTAATATGGAGATTTAAATAAGTAAAAGGGTGGCCCAGTTTGTAAAAGATAATTGGGTAGCTCCATTTATCATTTATTTAAAGAGGGGCGTAATTATTCATAAATAAATTAAGGGATTCTTTTTGATATTTCAATCATAAAATATTGTTAGGTGATGACACGTAACAACTCTGTGATTTAAAGATAAGATTTAGGTTTAAGGTTGAGATGAGAGGGTTGCATGATATTATGATAAGTCAGAAGTAGGGTTTGGATGTGGCACGTGACTCATGAAATTCGAAGATTGGATTTTAGATGTAAACATTTTACATGATTGGTATTGTATTTTTTTTATTTTTTTTTGTATTTCAACGCTTTAAAAACTTTATCCCTCTAAACATTATGCTAAAATTTCATGTCAAAAACATGCTATACTTGACTCCATATATATATTATTTATATCCTAAAACCATACAAAACCACTTCTTCTTTCATATTTTTGTGTTATAATAATAAAAACATTCATTCTATTATCAAGATTGAGTAGGTGTAAACAGATTAATTAAACATGTTGTATGTGTATGAACAAATTAATAATGGTGAATACGTGGTATATTTATGTATTGGTTTTAATATTTTAATTAATTAAGTCTGAAATCAAATTTTAATACTAAATGACCGGCAGTAATTCGCACGTCTACTCAAATTATTAGCTTAACATACATTCATGTTTAAAATCTTTAATTCAGTTTAGTATTGAAAAATTAAAAACATAAGGTAAAAAGAATAAGTAGACATTATAGGTGGAGGAGAGAACAATATTGTTTAATACTGTAAAGTATGAAATACAAAACGTTGACGTTTCTGCATCTGAACTTATCAATTCGCTGCCGTTTAATACACATGTGAGATAATCTAAGCCATGAAGCAAACGACATCCAACGGCCAGAATTCATCTAGCAAGTCAACCATATATAAGCAAGCATCTTCTACATAATAAGAGGCCTCTCTTCTTCATGCGACCAAAAAGGTTCTTTGTGCTTTGTAGGTTTTCGTCAATCTTGTCTCAAATTGTATAATCTGGGTTAGGTGAGGGTAGTGTTCTTCATGATTAGAGAGGTTGGTTCAAGTTTCTCTAGAGATTAAAGGTTTGAGTGATTATTCAAGATTGAGAGCTGTGGGTGTCTTTAGAATCACTGTAATATGTAAGAACTCTTGATTTAGTGCAGTGAGCCCCAAAAATCGGAGCTTAACGTGGAGTAGTCTTTCCAGTTTTGAAAGACGAACCACGGTAAATCTGATTGTTTTGTGTTCTTGATCTTGTGTGTGTTGATCTGTTAGTTTGTGTGGATTAAGGGTTAATTGATACGAATGGTATAACAAATACTATTAGCAACCCTGGGGATCACATTCGAGTGACTATGTTAGATTCTCCTCTACTCTTTACCCTCAAGAGGGTTCGAACTTGCGAAACCATACTGAATCTTTCTCTTTGCTCTTTTACTATCAAAGATACTCAAACTTTGAAGACTATGTTAGATATTTCCTTTACCCTTTACCATCAGGCCATTAGTGGTTCTTAATTAATTTGTTTTTTATACTCTATATTATTAGCCATACATTGAGTCATTAGGTCATCAAATATAACAAAAAAGGGGGTAAGTTTAATATATTGTGAAGGATTATATTATTGAATTAGGAGGGCTGATAATTCAAAGCTAAGTTTTGTTTGTTTATAGTAGTTCAACAATACATGAAATTATATAATATATATAGTAGATCTGTGTTTATTTTTACTATGGTGGTTAGCTAAAGTTGTGAATAATGGAGGTTAGCTGTGAAATAGTTGGCACCACCGTGATAATTTAGGGGGTAGAAATTAATGGGGAAAAGTGAGGGACCACATTAATTCAGTGGCAAGCGGCAACCAAGTGTAATGAAAATGCCAATAGAACCAAACACATCTCTATCAAATTACACAGACACTTCCACTGTAAATAATTTGTTATAAGATATTGCATGAGGTGTAAAGAGGGTGACAGTCGTGACTAGTAATACACCCATGCAAACTGGAAAGCGGAAACAAATATTTCCATTTCTATTTCTATTAAATTTTGCCATGAAACTAGGCCTTGGCAGTCAACTCCATAAACTCAAGTCTATAATTCACACAGTAGTAATGTAAGACTTTAGAGGCATTGAACTATGTATTGTTACCCAAAAGAAAGGAAATAAATAGATTCATGAATCAACCAATTTAGTCTAAATGTACTTACCTAGAACAAACTGACACCTTTGCTAAGAGTCAGGAATTTTTTTACAAAAAAACCATCCTCTTGGTCTCTTCTCAACCAATATACTAAACTAACTAACTAATCTCTTCATCAAATTACTAATATATCAATCACAGTATGTATATTCGTCTATTTCTTACCTTATGTTTTAATTTATATATAAATTTGAAATGATATTCATAATAGTTTAATTGCTTCTTTGACTTGAAACTGTTTGCAAGTTGCGTATACATTAGGGCTTATGAGAATCTTATGAGTAATGAGATATTAATTAGGAGTAAAAATAAATTGACTTTTATTAAAGATCAGATATAAGTCAAAGCATGAATGCACCTGAAATTTAGAGTGGTTGGTTTCCAATAAACAAATACATTGAATTGTGTGGAAAAAATCTTGGTCAACGTCATAAATATAAATTAAAATATAAAAGACGAGCATCTAATTATTGAAGGGGGGAAAGTCAAAATTGGTGAAGAATGGGATGAGAAAATATTGACCTGACCACTAGAGGGTGGAGAGAATGGATGATATGTCTTCAACAACTATTATTTAAAGGTCAAACCTAACTCAACTGCTTTTTTTTTTTTTTTATTTCTCCCTTATCCATTCTTACATTCTTTCAAATTCTCAGATCAAAGAAATCAAGATAAACAACTGAAGTATTTTTGAAACCTCCAATAGCAACTTGAAAAGGGAACAAGAAGCTGGGATCAACATGAAATTTGCTTTCAATTATCAATTGTTAATAAATACATGAAATTGATACCAATTAAATGGAAATCTGATCACGCTATAAAATTACACTCTGTAAACCTTTTTTTTTGGTACAAAATAATTTAAGAGTGCATCAACTAGAATGGCTGGGAGACAAAGCAAAGGGTTATATTCTGTCCTCAAAACTTGGTAACAACTATTGATCATTTTGGCTTCCGAGGCATTCCCATCCTTGACTTAGCATATCTGGGTTGCAAATTGAGATAAACATCGTGCACAAAAACAAAAATGATACTCCAAACAATAAAATAAATCAAAAGGCATTTACTTGTAAAAGAAACAAAAATGCATTCCTAAAGGATACTCCAAACGTAAGCCTCCTGGACATGAGTAAAGAGTTGTGCCTTGCAGACTAGTTAATGCTGCCGTTGAAGAGAAGTATCCTGCACAATTAGTTGCATATACTAGATGAGTCTCGCAAGATAACTGCAAAGGTAAATTACACAGAACTCCAATATAGAGGGTATTCCTCTGCAAATGCCATAAACAATTGAAGCTTCGAATCCTAAGGGGATACTGCATAATCCCACTACAACAACTCTTTCAGAATTCTCAGAGTGGATTACTAAATGCTATCACATTCAAAATCAACAAACACTTCCAAAAGGTGAACAAGTGCCGTGGCTATGACCACATGCAGTAAAAGAGAACTGTAGCAGGTTTCTTCTAAAGAAAAACTGAGGTAAAATCTGAATTTGGCCCTCCTTACATAAGATATCAGAAAAAAAATCAAAAGTTCATGTCCTCAATAATGCAAAAAACCAGTGATGCTTCTCAATACACTAAAAAATATGTGAATGACTAGAATTTTTATGCTTTTTACAAACAGAACTTACATGCAGATGATGAAATTTGAACATTTAAATTCATAATATCCCATTAATAATTTTGATAATAATTATACAATTAAACCTCCCATATTGGCATGCTAGCATATGTTGAAATATAGATTGTAAGCTGAAAAGAAATTAGTGCATGAACTTAATGGCATTTTGTTTAAAAAAAGTTGATTTTATTATTTTTCAATTGTGTCTTTCAGCATGTCCCACTCAATACCCTGGGGGACTGCAATCATGAACAAACTCTACAGGAAAGAGAGATGCTAAGGTCAACTCTCTCTTTAACAGGTATGACAAAGGAGAACATGGCATCAATAAAGTAAGTTGGCACCTGAAAATCAACAAATGCAACTGGAGCTCCATATGTGCTCTGCATCTTCAATTTCAGATATCCGGGCATCTGATAGAAAAATATCAACCAAAAAAAAATTAACAAAATATATTACATAAGAAAAGTTATGCTTACCTAGAAAAGACTTGAATTAATTCTGTCTCTGTACAGGTTGGCCCGAGATTAGACAAAAAGTGTTGGACATGGGGTACCAATTTTGGGGACCTTAGGGGGAACTGAAGAATTATTCTGCCATTACAACAAAGATCTTGAAGTTATTGACAATGGAAAATAATTGTTCGAGCGTGCATATGTAAAATTATTTGTGGTCAAGATGATTGTCTTGACGAAAATGGGCTATTAATATGATTGAAAACAAGGCATGGTCTATAATTGGGTGCATGACAAAGCTTGAAATCCATCGTGCATCGATTATAAAAACAATGCATTTACAACTAAAATTAAGAAAACACGCAGACAGGACATGTTAGGAAGGATTCAAAGGACTAATGATTTATGAAGACATGTAAGCTTAATTATATCTTTCAAAGTTAAAAGAAAAGGATATAAGAGCATATAGCAATAGCAGAAATACACAATTGGGAGCAGGCAAGAACAAAGGGTAAGCAACTGTAGGAACTGGAATTGACTTAAAAAGAAAGCAAGCTGAAATGTAGCCTGACCAATTTGGAAGGTTATCTCACTAGCAGCTCTTGCGTCGAGGTTTCCAAGACTGAATGATAGAAAAAGGGAAAAAAAAGAAAACAAGAATAATAATGAGACAAGGTTTCACAGATACATGAAGAACTGGAAATCAAAAAGGCAGATACTACACTTCAACTTCTGCAAACAGGGCATGTAGTAACCGCTTTTACTAGGACCTTGACCTTTCTGCTAGAAGCAATCACTTGAAAGTAAAAATATGTGCTAATTGATCTAGAAGTAATCACTTCTAAGTAATGAAAGTTGTGCTTAAGTAATGGAGATGACCTTTGTGTAGGTGGATAACCAATCATGTTGTAAGCAGAATTACCCATTCCAGGCATGTGAACGCTGCCAAAACCTGCTAGTGCCCAAGCGTGCAAAACATGTGCAATGTGAGCATCTAAGAATGTGTCCTTCGGTGACTAAGTAATTAATTTGTTGTCCAAGTGAGAGATTAGAAAAGCACCAGCTAGCTCATATAAAACAATGAATGAGAGCAAGAGAGAGATACAAACATTATTAATAGGCCTAAAGTGAGCCAAGAATGTTAAACAAGCAACCAAAGTAATCTGACACAAACTAATTAAATCTAGGCAATCCACCCACCAGAGTCAGAAGTTCCCCTTGAAAATGTGGAGGATGCTCTTGCCTTCTTATCTGAGCCACTCCATCATCATCTAATAGTAATAACCAACGAGTCACATGACGTCACCGAGCAACCAAAAATATATACAGAAATCAAATCAATTTTTAAGGGAAGATATTCAACAAGCTACAGACCTGTGCTTGAGCGCTTAGGTCGGGAATTAGATTTGCAAGATCAATATATAGGATTGATCCTTTCACGATAAACACCATTCCTGCAAACAGAGGAATGCAAACTAAAATAATATATCTCATGCTCTGAAGCACTGCAGAACAGCAGTGGGTATCATGCACACGTTTTTGAGTACCAAGTGCCAAAGCCTTGTCAACAACATCCGAATGAACAAAATAATTTGACCTACAGCAGATTCAAATCACACAATCTTCAAGTGTTTTGCCTAATGCTTTCTGTACTAGTTTCTCTGATATTTCTAAGGATCAGGACAAGGGTAAATCCTCTCTGGACACTTCAGAACAAAATGAAAACACAAAAGAAAATAGATGGAATTTTGGCGGATAGTTATGGATTGAAAAGTCCATAAATTTTACAGAACCTAAACTGTATCCATATTGCAGATTTATGTAACAGAACAACTTTTAAGAATAACTTGGGCACATGCATGAGTTTCACTTGATGCTTATTTTCCTGCAAATGACATCATTAGCAAAGACAAGTGCTCTAAGTCTAAACATATAGACAAGAAGCCTCCATTGACAGATTATATTTGCCCAATTTGATTAGTTTACTGGTTACATCCCTTGAAATAACATAGCTATAGATACTACTCAAACATCTAAGGCATGATAGTGGCCAATAACCAGTATCAATATGTTTCTATTTAGAAAAGATAATGAAATAGCATCCAGAATGAGATCAAATGTCAGTTACAAATTGTAAGCAAAATATCTTACAAGAAACCATCATGACAATGTGAAGAAATTCCACTTTACCAATCTATTTTATACAATGAATAGCGGTACTTGAAAATAGACCACCGATATTACCTAAAAGTACAGGGATGTGTAGTTTCTTAGCAAAAATGCAGCATGAGTTTCATACATGACTTTTGTGACAAAAGAAGTAGTAAGGGTTTTCAAATCATATGAAGCAGGAACTTACATTTAGAGCTGCATTGCCACGATTGCAGACTGCTGATCAGAGAATAACAGCAAAGCAAATGGCTGTCATCAAGCAAAAGCCATATCAGATGACTACATACCTGATTTTAGTACAATGTAAAGAGTAATCAACTAATTATAAAGCTTAATTAGCAATCCAAACTAAAAAAGAAATAGAAAGAGAAGAAAAAAAGAAAAAAAAAGACTACATCCATTAAAAAGGAGTCCTTCCAATGATTTTGTAGGCAGATAATTAAGAAAATCGAATTCCCTTTCCATGAATTGAGTACTAGCGAGTTAGTGAAAGCAATGTAAAATATAAAATAAACTAGAATATCCCAAAAGCCGAAGCCTGAAATTGTAGTACTTGACCATCTTGAAATAAGACGAGAATAAATTGATTATGTCCGAAGGCATATTAGAATCAGTCTCATCTGAAATTACAAGCAATCCATTTACTTTCCCTATATTGCAAATACTAAACATCCCAACAGTCCAGAATTCACTGTAGCTGAGGATTTTTTTTTTTTTTTTTGGGTGGGGGGTGGCAGTTATCATGGTTAATGGATATTATTAACAGTATAACGATACAATTAGAAACACTAATTCACAATAATTCCAAGCAAATTCAAAAATTAGAAAAGAAAAAGGAGAGCATTTACATAGACATAAAATGTAAACATAATAAGAGAGAGAAGAGTACCTGTGAAGCTTGGGCTTGGTTGCGAAGGTGAGAGGATTCGTAGCCAGGAAACTCACGGAACAGGTTATAAATCTCTCTAGCTTTAACGTCTTCGGGTAAACCCGCCACAAATAGGGTACGGACAGCATCGTAAGAACCGTACGAGGGGAAGTGAGCCGCGTAGGGGGCGAAAGGTGCCGGCTGTTGCTGGGGTATGTAAGGCTGTGGCGGTGGTTGCGGCGGCGCAGCGGCTCCCGGTGGAGGTGGAATTGGCGGTGGGTAGTAACTGTAGGGTACACCGGGCGGCGGTGGGTAATATTCAGCCATGGCAGTTGGGGTTACTTCGAGGCGCAAACAAATCGGGTACTTGACAAAAATTATTTATCTTTTACACAGCCTTTAATGATGGGCCGAGTTTAGGGCCTTTACATTGTTCACTGTTTCAATTTCAAATCCAAGATTTTTAGCATTTATATTCTATTGGCTAAGGCTGTATTTCTTTTAACTTGAAAACTTTAAATAAAATCAAACTTAAATTTTAATATCACATTACCTAAATGGTTATAAACCTCCACTGATACATTAAGCTATAAACAAGTAGTGGATAATTCAATTGTTGCATCGAAAAATTTGGCTGTAAGGGCGATTAGATCATTAATCAATAATTAAGCATGTCGGGTGGATTTAAATACAATTAGTTAGCCAAATAAACACTCGTGAAAATTTCAGTTGAAATCTCTGAATACAATCTATCTGCAACTGATTTGCAACGAAAACAGAGCAACTATGTGCACATACATTACGCTAAATATCCAGTTAATTCCATGAACATTCTATTTCCAACTGATTAGCTTCTACTTGGGATGACGTGCGGACAGAATAATGCTCACTGACGTAACGCTAAATATCATTAATTGCAAGAACGAAAAAAATTCATCCCTGACCATTACTATAAAGCAAACAAAATTTCATCACAATCATCCATCCCTCTTTCACTCGGGATAATTTCACTATGAACACCGACACTAGTTTCCAATGCAAATTACCCTTAAGAATCCGATCAAATCTCTCACTACAGAACAAAAGGACATTAGGAAAACGCTTTTCCACATCAGAATTTATGATGCCAGTCCCATCAAATGTTGAACTTGAAGGGTTATCACCTACAGCTGCCCAAATACAAATATGGGTGTCATTAAGACATGTACTATTGGATATTAATAAAATACTTCAGCTTATATAAACTGAAATGTTCTACAATCTTTTGTTCTGAAACAGGTACAAATGAATGTTACGCTTGAGTAACATGCTACACAGTTTAACAAGTCATTACCAGTCTGGGACAACTTCTCTGCCATCCCTTGTCTGTCTAGCAGAGAGTTGGGGAGGTTCTGAAAGATCAATGAATGATACAACAGTACGTGACCACACAAATGAAAACCAAATAAATAAAACCAAGTTTTCAACTGATATGAACACCAATGAGTACATTGGCCGTATAGAGTAGTGTATCAACATGAACTATCTGGCGTAATGAAAGACAGTTTCAACTTTCAACCATGCAGTTTACACAAAAGGGCAATTGACAATTGCAATATAGCAACATTCTTTAAAAGGCAAGTTTAGCATTGGCATTTTACAAGAGGCAGTCGACCGACAATTACCAGCAGTCACCAAGGAAAGCAGACTTATTATTAGATGAGAGAGGGGTATTGCTTGGCCTGCTGGCGAACCCTTCTCTTGTATTCCACCGTATCCTGTATAAATATTAAATAAGTCCTTTGTTATTAGAATATTAACACAAGAAGATAGAATAGCATCCGTTATGAATAAAACTGAAATTCCAGCACCTGAATTATCAAATCAGAACCTTACTGCACAATATTTCAGGATCAACATATACAGCATACAAAAACTTTTAATATTTAAATCCCTCCAGTTTATTTACATTAACTGGTTATTTCTCATGAAAAGGGCTAGACAAACAAAGTTGCAGCAGAAAATTCCAATTGCAGAGTATCTTATTGTTCATTAAAATAAGCCAATGAAAATATAATATCATCAGACAAGGAGGACCCTGCCATTCTTTCACTAAAGAATCCCTTTTTTTCCCTCACAAAAAGAAATGAAAGAGCTGTTCTGTATTACTAAACAGAAAACAGGAGCTCATCCTGATATATTAAGGTTTCCAGATAAATGCATAAATTTTTATAAACAGCATACCTGGATGAAGAGGTGATAACCTTCTGTTTGAGCAGGATCTGCAGGATTTGGCTGGTCCAGCAAATCTTGGATACCAACAAGAATTTGCTTCACAGTAATGGCTGGTCTCCACCCCTACAAATAACCAAGCTTGCTGAGAAACCTCGTGACTAAGTAAATTCAAAGACATTAATAAACCTGCAAATTCCAAAGCAATTTTCAGGAGCAGCAGCAGGTACTTACACTGTCCTCATTGAGGATTGAAAGGCAAACAGTTCCAGAAGGATAGACATTGGGGTGAAAGAAGCCTTGAGGAAATTTGCACTTTGGTGGCTTGCTAGGATAATCTTCACTGAAGTGGAGAGTAAGTGGGTAGTAACCACCCTCCCAATCAGTCTGCAACATTAAAACATATGATAGTTAATGCAAGTCAAACTTGGAACACAAATATCATCAAAACAAGTTTAACAAACTCTTTATTTCTTCTTTTCTCTATACTTTTCCCCCCGATTATGTGGCCCTCTAAGAAACACCACACAAAAAAAAGGATACAGGAGCATGATCAAATCCACTGACAATGTTAACTTATTCATGTCCTTCAGCCTTTAGAGATGACTACACAAGCACACAGACAAGAAAAAAGATAGGTTGCAAAACATGGCCACAACATTATACTATTTATAATAATATGGAACACAGCACATCATGATGCATTCACACAGTCCAAGTGAAGGAAAAAGATGGAGAAAGGGAAAAAAAAACATCACCACCATATACTATATGCTACAGCAAGTAACAACCAACACAATTCTAGTAGATTGATTCATTATAAAGGGAAATCATTTGAAAAATAAAATAACATCCATCATTACTGAAAAAAAAATTCTAAAGTTGTATCCCAACCCTTTACCATTCATTCCACCATAACACATACATTAACCATAGCTGATTAACCTCAAGACTGGTTTTACCATCAAGACGTTTCCATTATGCACTAAAGCCATTACAAGAAATAAGGGCGGTGATATTTTTTATTGAAAACAGTAGTTGACTATCTTTACGTAGTTAAAAAAAAAAAACAGAAAGAAATACAACGTACAAAATGAAGCAATAACTAGGAAGTAGGCAAGCAACTAGGAAAAACAAACTTCAACCTGAGCCAGACCATTCTTTTAACTTGATGCTTTCAAAACGGAGGGACTTCAAAAAGCCTATAAGGACCACACGTTAACAATCATAAATCCTTCAGGGCCAAAATCTCCTTGAGGATCAATAAACTTCATTTCATTAACATACAGGAGAGTTAGTCACCAAAAATGAATTTTAATTGTCTATTCACACAACAACAGTAATATAAATAAACTCAAGGTAATTCAGATTGAAAATAATCCCGTATCTACACTTCTACAGATCATCATATCAAGGACCACACACCAAATTATCAACAAATTATAACATATAAACTAACTCAACAAATCATTTCCATTGATATAATTTAAAGAAAACGTAAAAGACAAAACAGTATAGAAACAGCACAAATTGGTAAAAATTTTTAACATAAATACAGGGTCTGAAACTTACTCCGGCTTTTCCGGGGATAGTGCAATGCCACACCATCAGATTCACTGAACCATCCGGCAGAGTCTCCGGCTTCGCTACAAAACCCTAGATTTTACAACAAAAAACGAAAAAAGGAAAATATCAAAACACACAACAGAAAAAAAGAAGAAAAACATAGTGAATCATAAAGAAAAAGCAATTCGTTGTACAGACATGAGGATGGTTCTTACGCCACGCCTTTCGCTCCTCCGCTAGCCGGCCACGCGCTATGCCCGACATCTCTCTAGCTCGCTGAAAAAACTCAAATGACTTCTTTTCGGTTTTTAATTTTTATGTACAAATATCGAGGAGCAGAGAAATGAAATACGTAGTGGCCTCTTCGTCTTGTCCCGAATTATTTTTGTTCCAATTATGCCCCATTCATCGTGAGGTCTATATTGTAGAGATTCTGCAATTGTACGGTTCAGATTTGATCGGGAATAGGTTAAGTCTACACTATGCTCGAGGCATTTTGTCCATTTCATGTTTTTTGGGTAAAAAATGACCCTGAAAGTCAATGCATTTGCAATTTTATATCCTAGCGTGGAAACGACGCCACTAAGTTCCCTCACGTGATAAACGCATGCTTAGTCAAAATCCAAATACTTTTTTTGGGTATAATCTTAACTGCCCCTGAGTTTTTAAGTAATTACACCAATTCCCACTAGGTTGAAAAGCCATACAAGACCTACCGTCCCATCCAGTGGCAGATCCAGGATTTTTGTCCGGGGGGCCTTTGCAGTTCCACCAATATTTGTCAAAAAATTCGTAAAAACTTTAAAAAATCACCAAACTTTAATAAAAAAAATAATACAATATTAAGAACCTAAAAAAAAAATATACAATAATACAATATTTCTTTACTTGAATAAATTTTTGAGAAGCAAAATTTTGAGTAAAAGTGTTGAGTAAACCTTGAACAAAACCTTCTTTTAATATTTTTACTTTTTGGCTTTCAAAGATTATAATATAAATTTTCATAGAGTTGATCAAACCTAGCCTAATTAAGTTAAAATCCACCAAAACTTAAATCAAGTCAATGTTACGTTGACTTTTGATATGAATTAATAAAAGAAGGGAAATTTTTTTAGTATAAGCATAGATAGTAACTCAAATTTCTTTAATAATTTTGAACAATTGAACAGTGACGTTTAAAATATAGGTAAGTGATGGGTGAAGGGTGAAGAATAACATTCTTTAAAATATAGTTAAGGTTTTAATTTGAGAAAGCAGATTCATTCTTAGACAAAAAATATAAAATAAACTTACAAGATTAATATTTTTTTCTCTCAAATTAGAATAAAAAACCTCAAAAAGAAAAAAAAAATGATTCAATCCTTAAATAAACTAAATTGAAATGAACAATACACATACCTAAAATCGATAAAACAGAAAACGAAGTTAATTATGACACCTTGAGTGGTGAAAATTTAACAATTTTAGTCTTAAAAAATTTTAAAAGCGAATAACATGAGAAAGAGAAACAGAGAGTAAAGAATTTGGGGATAAAATCATAAAAAAACAGGTAAGGCTGTGTAGAAAAATACTAGAGAGAGTTTTAAACTTTTAATATGATGTGATATATATATAACAAGTTTTTTGGTAGACCTAGATATATAGTATATATAATAATTCTTATTTTTTAAAAATATGAATGTGGATATAAGTATATATGTTAATTAATAATTTTTTATGACCTGTATATTAATAAATTTTTTTTCAAATCTACCTACAAAGGGCCTGAATCCGCCCCTGGTCCCATCGATAGCCTTTTATTATTTATAACCATTGAAAATTATTTTGGTCAATTAATTGTAAATATATGGTTGTAATAAACGACTTTTGTACTACCCTTGGCACACTCAAACGCATTAAATGATAAGTAACACTACATTTATAATTTTTTTATAGGGAGAACGACTTATACATACCCAATGTTTGCCGACACGATAAGTTGATATTTAAAAGGTTTTGAAATGACAAATGGGTACCTTCTGTCATGTTCTGTTAGTGATTTTTATTTTATAATAGTGAAAAGACTAAAATGCCCTTGAAAGTTTAATTTTTAGTTTTTTATAAATTTAAAAATTTCTATATAAAAAACCCCCTAAGTTTGCTAATTTGACTAAATACCCCAATATATAAAAATTTTATAAAATAACAAAAACACCCCCGCCACCCACAGTGCCAGATTCCGGCCACCACCGCCGGAATCTGGCCGAAAAATTGTGTTACGACACAGACCCGTCGGATCTATGTCGTAACACACCGATGTGGCCTTTTCCGGCCAGATCCTCCACGGATCTGGCCGAAAAATGCCAGATCGAGGTGTTACGACACAGATTCGATGGGTCTGTGTCGTAACATAATTTTCCGGTAAGTTCCCGGTCTCGACGGTCGTAGATCTGGCCTTTTCCGGCCAGATCAGCCACGGATCTTGCCGGAAAATGAAAGATCTACGCGTTACGACACAGATCCGATGGGTCTGTGTCGTAACGCAATTTTCCGGCCAGATTCCGGCGGTGGTGGCCGGAATCTGGCACTGTGGGTGACGGGGGTGTATTTGTTATTTTATAAACTTTTTATATATTTGGGTATTTAGTCAAATTAGCAAACCTGTGGGTTTTTTATAAATTTTTAAATTTATAAAAAACTAAAATATTAAACTTTTAAGGGCGTTTTAGTCTTTTCACTATTATCAAATGAAAATCACAAACAGAACATGACAGAAGGTACCTATTTGTCGTTTCAAAACCTTTTGGATACCAACTTGTCGTTTCGATAAATCTTGGATATGCATAAGTCGTTCGCCCTTTTTTTATAAAATTCTAGTGTGATAGTTTTCAATTTATCAATTTGTAGTGAATCCTATTTATTTAAATACAAATTGTTCAATTATAAATTACCACCTTAAAATTGTATAAAAAATTATATGAAAAAATTATAAATGGTGTTTTATTGTTACGTTGCATACTTAATAGCGGAAGTTATCCCCCCCCTGTGGCTCACTAACATGACCCGTGGAGGGCCTACGTCTTATTAGTGCACCCCACCATTCTGAACTCAGTTAATTTGATAAAATATATAATATTATAATAAATTAATTCAATAGAATAATTATTAAGTATATAATGTATTTATTAATAAAGATAATTAAATTTTTAATATTAATTATTTAAACAGTTTTCGTTCATGATAATTGAATTGAATTTAATGATGGAATATGAATTCTTGTTGAGTTTAGTACTGGGGTAAAATTTAAGGTTGGGAAAATCCAGTTAACCGAGCTGGATAAAGCTATTTTTAAACAAAAACAGTTTTAAGGTTTAAGTAGAAACCTGAACTGAAACCAAACTGATTTTTGCTTAAACCGGTTTTTGCTTGAATCGGTTTTAAACCGAACCGAATCGGTAAATACTATATTTATCCTTGTTGATATGTCATTTTGACACTAACGAAATTAGCAAATGCAAACTGCTACGAATCTACACGTGAGGTGATTATGAGAGTGTTTGTGAAGTAATGATGCTATATATGTGAAGAAACATAAATAAAAGATTGACAAGAGAGATTGTTAGAGTGGTTCGGATGTTATAAGTCAGAGTTGGCGGTGGGCTAGGTTGTGCCATGCTTAAAAATTCAAGGTCTGTCGTGTTGTAGGTTGTGCCGTACCAAGGCCCACAAAAATTTGTGCTCTATCATGCCGTGCTGGCCCACCAAATTTGAAGGCCCATAGCACGGCCCGCTATAAATCTTGTCGTGCCTTAGGTCGTGCTGTGGGCCGGCCCACATGCTTTGTAAAAATATTTCATTTTAATATTTATAAATTATGGTAATTTTGATTTATTATTAATAATTATTATAAAAATAGTTTATATATTATATTTAGTGACATTTTGTATTTATATTAATTAAAAAAATATATAATCACTATACAATATAATAAAATAATGAGACATTGAAATATTAATTGAATTTCAACACTTTTTATTACTTATAGGTTATAATTATAAATTGCAAATACAAACTTAGCAATTAGAATTAAGAATTTACATCTTCATTTTCATTAATTTGTAAATTCTTAAAATCTTCAAATATTTCTCGAGCCAAAATCCAAAAATTATATATATATATATAGATAATATGATATATATATATATATATTTTTTTTTTTTTTAAATTTGGCCCACCCTTAACTACAGTAGCATCCGCCCCTGGTTGTAAACATAGATTAGTATTTTATTTTTTCTTTATTTTTTTATTTTTTTGTGTCGTGATGTGTTGGCCCACGTGCCTTTTTTAAGACCCACGGTACGACCTGCATAATCGTGGGTCGTGCCGTGCCATCGTCTCTACTATAAGCAAGTCCTACGTCCACTATGGTTTCATTAATAAATTTCTCTCTGATTGTTAATGCAACGTACAAAGAGAAAAAATCACTCAGGTTACAAGAATAAAGGCTCCGTTTGGTTCAAGATTGGGAATACTACTCTTGGTATTCCCAAAAAAGTTAAACAGTAAAATACCCAAAATCTCTCATTTTTGGGAATACTATTTTCAATATTATTTAATTTTTTTTAAACCCTCTAAATTTGTTAATTTAATTAAATACCCCTAAATATTTTTTTAAAATTACAAAAACACCCCAACAATCCACATTTACCAGATTCCGACCACCACTACCGGAAAATGGCCGGAATCTGGTAGGATGGCGCACTACCGGCTGAATCTAGCCGGTAGTGCGCCGATCTAGCCTTTTTCGGCCAGATCCACCGTGGATCTGGCCGAAAAAGGCCAGATCTTTGGCCGTAACACTCGGTCACGACGGCCAACAAACGGTCGTCGTTGACCATCAACGACGACCGTTTGTTGGCCGTCGTTGAGAGCAAATACGGCCACGGCCAGATCTGACCGTAGATCTGGCCTTTTCCGGCCAGATCCACCGTGGATCTGGCCGGAAAAGGCCATAGCGACGCATGACCGGCAAGATCCAACCGATCATGCACCCATAAGGCGACTCCGGCCACCTCCAGTGGTGGTCGTCGGCAGGGGGTGTTTGAGGGTGGATTAGGGGTATTTTTGTTAACTTTTAATGTTTTATTATAGGGGGTATTTTGTAAAAAAATAAACATAAAGGGTATTTTATTAATTTATAAATTCTACATCGTAATACCCACCCAATTCAACTTTTTTTTAACTTTTTTCAAAAAACTTTTCCCAAAACCCCCAAATTTTGAACCAAACGGAACCAAAGCGTTTTTAGAGAATTGCAAGCTAGTCTCCTTCTAATAGAGTTTTTTTTTTTTTTTTTTTGTATGCAAGTGTATATCCAACCT